AAAATTTATGATAAATCACTTGATTTAATAAAATAATATATAATTCTCATAGATTTTTTTTACACAATCATGCACTTAAATTTTTTAATTTTAATATATTTTTAAATTCTAATATATAATAAAATAAGATTGTTAAATGCCCAAATATTGATTCGAGCTGAGAGCCAAGACTTTGGATCAAATTTTTTTCGAGTCGATTGCGAGTCATATACAGATCGACTAAAGCTAGCTTGAGATCAGCTCAAATTATTTTTAATTTATAAAAATTATATATAATACTAAATGTAATCAAATACAAGAGTCGGTTTGGAGCATACAACTAACTCAATTTAAGCCACTTTGTTTCGATTTCGAGGCGGTTTCGAGCTAGAATAGATCTAAACAACTCTCGACTTTAACCCTGCTTGTTTCAATCTGAAGCCGAACACATCTCAATTCAATTTCAAGCTGAGTTAGCTCGGAACCAAACATAACCAATCACAAGCCAATTTCGATCCAAACTTAATCTATTCAAGCCAATTTCGAGCTAGCGCCAACTCCGCTCGTTACCAGCCCTAATAGGAAGAGAAAAAGAGAAACATAAAGACATAAGCCAAAGATGATTACCCATAAAAAGGTAATTGCACATTAATTTGTTATTTACATATAAATAGATATTACTTCTGTAACAACTACATAGACAGCACAATTTCTAACAAAAATAAAATAAAATAAAATAAAAGGAAAATTTACACACAAACCACTGAATTCCTATGTATTTACAGAACTTCAATTTATACATTGATACCATATTGCCATGCATGAAAAAATGCATTTCAGATTTTAAATGTTGAAATTGTTATTGTAGAGAGTAGGAAACGAAAAATCGAAGTAGAAAATGAAAAGAATACAGGAGATTTACGAGGTTCGGCAATTTGTGCCTACGTCCTCGAGAGCAGAGCGGCGATTTCACTATCCCGGAAAAGTTCAGTACATACTCATAGAGCTACATATCATATATATATATATATATATATATATATATATAGATAAAACCTATGAAAAATACATACATAACCCCAATCTACTCCAACATCTGTCCCTTATCTAAGTATATGAGCCATATCTAAGAATTATATTTTTGATATGATATAAAATATTAGGGCGATATAAATGTAAAAAAGGAAAAGTTTTAGGAGTTAGATATGCAAATACACAGGAATTGGGTGGGTAAAAAATAGAAAACAAACTCTCTGAATACTCTATTTCATGTTCTATGCCTTCTTCTGTATTACAGAGCATTCTTCAGCTCAAGAAGTTGAGACCATCTCTGATCATAGCTCCTCGTCTGGTCAGCGCCTGCAAGCAGATACAGACTACATAAATTATATGCATTTACACATCAAACATTTTGATATTTTCACTTTTGCTTTTACAAAAAATGCAGATGTACCAAGCGGACCCTAAGTGTTATATATGTAAATATATAAGAATTGTGTACAAAAAATGCTGGAACCAAACATTCAAGGCTTACTCATCACATACATTGCCATGTAATTGCTGATTTCTCACATGACTCCGAGCATGTGTCCTGAAAAAATATAAATCATTTGACTAATTGGGGAATTTGCATACAGAACACACAATTCTTACGTATTTGCATATCTAAAATAAAGTTTTATGTCCATAAATAAAGGAGTCCTGCTGGTTTCAGCGTTGAAGATGGTGCTATTATACCTTTGTTGAGGCTATTAACCTTATTGTATCCTGCACTACTGAATCGAGATCAGCTTCTGATCCTGGTTTTACATATATCACCTGCTTCATAAAATGATAGTCAAAATGGGCATATATGTAATAATAGAATAGATGTAAACATTCATCTTTATATATATATCACAAAGTCAAGTTTTCTGATATGGGATGAATCAACTGAGGAGATGGAAATCAAGGAGGTTGAAACTAGAGGAGGTGGGATTCAGGGTAAAAGTGAGCTAAGTGTGTATACTCGGAGTAATAAGCAAACTGAGGGAACAGAGTCTGCAGTGCCAACAAATCCCTTGTCCCACTCTTCCCCTACACCATCCACATTTGATTCAAAGCTCCCATGTGATATTGTTCATCCTTCGTCTACTCGTAACCCCCCAATGTTAAGAAGGACTTCCCGCAGCAATACCAGACATCATAGTGATCGTTTTGGGTGGAAACGTGACGTTGCTAACTTTGTTTCTTAATAAAACATCTCACATTTACATTGAGCGTTCATTGCATCATTGGACTCTGACTCTATACCCAAGTGTTTGGCAAGTAGCTAATGAGGATCCCAAGTGAAAAACTGCAATGCATGAAGAGCTTGAAGCTCTCAATAAAACTCGAACATGAGAGATTGTACCACTACACCAATGGGGAAGAAAGCAATTGAGTGTAAGTGGATTTTCATGGTGAAGCAAACTCCATAAGGGAAGGTGGAGAGGCATAAAATCCGACTAGTGGCAAAAGAGTACAATTATACATATGACATTGACTATGATGAAACCTTTGCACCAGTAGCAAAGATGAGCAAGGTGAAGACACCAACTGTAGCAGTCAATAGTGGATGGAGATTACAACAACTTGATGTGAATAATGATTTTCTGCATGGGAAGCTATTGTAGTAGGTATATTGGGAGAAACCACCAGGATTCAGTTTATCTTAGATAGTGGGCAAGGTGTGCAGGCCCAGGAAGTCGTTATATGACTTGAAGCAGTTTCCTCAAGTCTTGCTTGACAAATTTTGAATTACGATGATAGGAATGGAATATCTGCAGATCAATGCATACCATATGGTGTCCTTTCGACGACAAAAAGGTCACACTACCATACTTGTTGTGTATGTAGATGACATAATTGTCACCAATGATGATGAGACACAGATTGTTCAGTTGAAGGGAAAACTGGGGAATCAATTCGACGCAAAGATCTGGGACAACTCAGATAGTTTCTTGGGATTGAAGTGACTCATGGATCTGAAGGGATAGTCTTATTCCAGAGAAAGTAATTAATAGATCTCCTCATGGAAACAAATATGCGGGGGTGCAAACCTGCAATCTCTCCAACTGATAAGAAGGTCAAGATGAATATAGAGGCAGAAGAACCTATTGATCGTGAGAGGTACCATAGACTGTTGGACCGTCTAATCTACTCTGTCACACTCGACCTGATATTTCTTTTGTAGTAAATGCGGTGAGCCGCTACATGCATGATCCAAGGAAGGATCATATGGATGTAGTGTATTAGATCCTGAGATATTTGAAGAGTGCGTCAGAAAAGAGATTGATCTTCAGGAAGAATGAGCATGTAGAAATAGAAGGTTTTGGTGATTCTGACTATGCAAGTTGTACAGATGACAGACGATTCACGTCCATATACTGCATGTTTATAGGTGGTAACTTGATCTCGTGAAAGAGCAAAAAAACTGTCAGTTGTAGCAAGATAAACAACAGAGGCAAAATACAGGGTCATAATATTAGGAGTTGCTGAGATGATGTGGTTGAAAGCCTTGTTGGTTGAACTCAAAGTGAACTAGAGAACTCAAATGAAGTTGTGGTGCATGTTTGTAGGTGGCAACTTGATCTCGTGAAAGAGCAAAAAACTGTCAGTTGTAGCAAGACAAACAACAGAGGCAAAGTACAGGGCCATGGCATTAGGAGTTTCTGAGATGATGTGGCTGAAAACCTTGTTGGTTGAACTCAAAGGGAACTAGAGAAGTGAACTAGAGAACTCAAATGAAGTTGTGGTGCAACAACAAGTCAACTGTCAACATTACCAACAACCTAATGCAACACGATAGAACTAAACACGTGGAGATTGATATAATCTTCATCAAGAAGAAGTTGAATAATAGATTGTTGAAACAAAGTCATGTAGCTACTGAAGAGCAGGTGGCTGACTACCTCACTAAAGAACTTAGCTCAGTGGAGTTAACTAGATTATGTGACAATATGGACTTAGTGAATATCTTTGACCCACCTCGAGGGGGAGTGTTAAGATTTGTATCTAATTTAAGGTTCTAGTTGTAAATAGAAGAATTATAGAAGTTTATTTGTAAATGTTATGTGGTTCTATATAAGCCAAAATGTTAATGAAATGAACAAGATAATTATTGCAAAATCATTTTCAACATATCACAACAAAAAGACTACTATTACTAACTTTTTCAAAGTGAAATACACCTTTATCCATAGATTTTGTTGTCATTATGAGACTAAGGTGTTATACATGTAAATATCAAATTCTAGAAGTTATGTAAATACATAAGAACTGTGTGGTATGTATGTAAATTTTCAACAGTTTAAATTTTAAGCACTAGTTTTGCAATTCCTCCCTGACACATTATATCTAGATATTCTGATTCAATTTATTTTTGGGGCATTTACATAAGTGCCATCCAATTCCTACGCATTTCCATATCTAACACCTAAACTACGCTTTTCAAATTTCTACCACTCATATCCTTCATATCACATAAAAATACCACTATTTTAACTTTAAAAAAATGAAATATACCTTTCCATTAATATGTAAGTGTTACATCGATGCTTAGCCTAAGGGCAATTTTATTTTTTGTATGCCTAAAGGCAATTTAATCTTTTATTATTGTTATTGTTGGGTATAAAGAAACTAATTATGTTTCAAGTTAGGGGTATGCATGAGCTTGTTATTGTGAGTCTTACATTCAGAGTTTGAGAGAAATTTCTTATCTTTCGAATTATAGGAATTGTGAGAGATCGCCTACCATTTGAATTGTAGTTGTTTACCTTTGTATTTGAATTGGGTTCTTCATATTATTAAAAAAAATATTTATTTTTTACTAATTTCTGTGGAACTTCGTGCCGATTTTGACGTCGGATCGTATCAATAAGGTGGCTTAAATGTAAAAAAACTAAATTTATGTGCTAGAATTGTAAATAGGAATTGAGTGGTGTATGCACGTAAATCTCCCTTCATTTTTTTTGCAAAAAGCAAGACAAATAGGAGCTTGCTTGATCACTTCCACCAATTTCCGGTAGCTCAACTTCACTGTCTTTGTTAGAAGGCAGAACCCAAACATCAAAGGTAGCGTCAATCTGCAAACATCAAATTATTTTTTAACAAAACATCATCCATCAGTTCAAATATTTGAAGGCATTTATATACATACCACCCAATTCCTATGTATTTTTGAAGGCATTTATATACATACCACCCAACTCCTATGTATTTACATATCAAGCACCAAAACTTTACTTTTTATATTCCTTTTTACATTTATAACACCCAAACCTTTCATAACACCTCAAAAATACCATCATTCTAATTTTTTAAAAGTGAAATACACCATTTCATCCAGAGGTAAGGTCGCATGCATGTCAAAATTCAAGTTTAGTTGTTAGATGTGCAAATAGATAAGAATTCAGTGGTATGTATATAATAATAATAATAATAATAATAAATAAAAAAGACCATCATTCTTCACTTCAAAAAACAAGAAATTTCAGTACAATACCATGAACTTGAAGTCCAATTTTGAATCATAGAAATAACTTGTTTATAATGCAGGTTGAGAGTGAGGAGGTGGTTTTATAAAGAAAAACAAACTAAGAGATTATGGGAAATTTACATATATTACAAACAATTTTTATGTATTTACATATGTAATACCAAAAGTTCAACATTTAGACTCAAATCTTTAAAATCACATCAAAAATATCATCAA